TTGTGGTGGTGGTGGTGGTAAATAGATGGTATAAACATGGTGGAAACCTAGACCTTATTCCTGCCTCTTAGTCTGCTGCCTCTATTATTGAGCTCATTAGCTCAATAATAGGGTGGTGATTTATCCTTTTGGGAGAATGTTGCCTCTAGCTGACTTCTGATATACTTGGGCTTGTAAAAGCCATAGATGTGGGGTTGGGGGTTGGGCAGATCTCATTTGCAGTCATCTTGTTGGCTTGGAACACCAGTAGACCTTTAATGCTGAGAGTGGGAAAGTGACCAATTAGGCTGCTCTGAGGAAGAGTGGAAAGTTCCTATTTGTGGCTCTTCTCGTGGGAGGCCTGACATAGACCTGCCTCTTTGTCTGCTGCCTCTATTACTGAGCTGGCCAGTAGCAAGGTGGTGATATATCCTTTTGGAGGAATGTTGCCTCTAGCCGCCCTCTAATATGCTTGGGCTTTTAGAATGTATGTCCTGCCCACTTGCCACCAAAGCCCAGGTGCCTAATGGTTCCTGGAGCTCGTCATGACTCTCAGCAGATACCTGATGGGGTAAGAGGCAAATGCCCAGGATAACAGAATGTTTCCTTTTCCTAGTGGCATGTATAGTAATCCATCTATGGAAGCGGTTTAAGACAGCAATGGATGGATAGACAATGGCACCCTGGGTCATGAAGGCCCAAATGTCAGGAATTAGTTATTCCAAATGACTCTGCTCTCAGGGTCTTGGTGGCTCTTTAATTCCCTAGAGTTAGAGCCCAAGACGGGCTGGTGAGGTGGGCTTGGAGCTCAGGCACCATGCCTCTTCTCGGGGTGGGTGTTCAGCAGACCCCAAACCAGCACTAACTTATTCCTTGTGGATGCTGCCATTGCCATCGAGGTTGAGTGCCTTGAAGAGATTTAGGTCTCTGTAGTTGTGCCTGCCCACAAAAAAGGCTTTTAGAGTTCTATCCTGTCCTAGAGCTTCAAGTGATTAGTCTTGCTGTACCATCTGGGGAGTCTTTCCTGTTCTAGGGTCCCAAGAACCCCCACTGTTCACTCTAAGAGGAAACCTTAGATTCTCAGATACTCATGGGTAGCCCTGACTTACATTTGGGGGCCAGGGCTTTGAGAGTGACAGAGGCTACATATAGCTAGATAGATGGGAGATGTGTTGGGACTCCTAAGGCTTGGGAACTACTGAGAGAGGTTTCTCAAGAGATGTCCCCTAGGACAGCTCAGATGTCTAGCAGAGACTTTGTATAAGGTCAGGCTGAGGGCTACCATCCCAGGGGACTGGACAACTGCAGAGTGAGAGGAGGTAGCCTGGAAGTGACATAGATACTCCTTCCTCTAGCCAAGGCACAAGGAGACGTTGCTCTGTTGAGGAGGCTGCATCTCCAAGACCTTATGCCACATCCATGGCCACAGGCTCTGGGGTCTGAAGCTATCCTAGGCACCTATGTAAAATATCTAGAAGTTTATTTATTTTTTTAATATCTGGAGTTTTAAGTATTTGAAACTGAACGTTGGCAGGTGGCTGAGCTGAGGCTGTCCCAGGGGAGAGCTCACTGATCATCCCTCCAAACACGTTCAGGAAACATAGTGAAGTTGATGGGCCATGAGGACTCCTTGAGAATGGCATCCACCTCGTTGTCCTTGACATTAGTTTTGCCTCTGCAAGCGTGGGCAGAAGGGTATAAAGTGGGCCCACAATGTTATCCCCAGCTCCCTCTGCCCTTGACACTGATAGGTGACCCTACAGGACAGCCTACATCTGTCATTCCCAGGGTGACTCCAGAGCAGTGCTGAGCACATATAGACAAAGGGGAGGCATGAGATGGAGTGCTTGGGCCAAGTGTGGGGAATATAGGCTGGGTTCGTTCAGGTCACTTCAAATCTAAGGACATCATCTGCTGTGGAGGAGAGAAGAAATTTGAGAACTGTTTTCTGTTCTCAAATATAGAGAAGGTAGGCACTAGGAAACCACAATCCCAGATAAAAAGTAACTGTCTTTCCCAGCTTCTAAGGTAGGATCAAAAGTCCCTGCCCCCCTCCACCTCCACCCCAGGAGTGTCTCATGGTGGTAACTTTGAGAGAGAAGGCTCTGTGTCAGCTGAAGTGGCTTGGAGAGGGTGGGAGAAGAGCTGGCATCTAGTTCTTGAGATGATGAGTCAGCCTACCCGAACATATCCTCTTCTAAGCCACGAGGTGAGTCTAGGGGTAGAATGGAGGTGTCGGGAGGGGAATAGGGCTAGCTGTGTCATCCACTGGGTTGCCTCCCTAGTCCCTGCCTCAAACCTATCCCAGATTTTTCTAACCATCCTTGATATCCTCTGCTAGCTCTAAACAAACCACAGCCTTGAATAGCTACCTTGAGACCCTGAGAGTAGAGCCCTTTGGAATAGCTAAGGGAAAACTAAACAAACCTAGAATTGGCCATAACACCCCCAAAATAAGAGGGTGTATCAGCATTTAGGGACAATGCCCTTGCTCTACCTGAGGAAGAAATCACACCTCAGGGAAGTGATAAGTGTCCTACGGATTCTCTTTGTCAATGAAGCTGTCTCTTTTCTTATCCATGAGGGTGAAGGGCTGAGAATCAATGCCAGACTTATTGCGTTGCTGGTGGTCTCCCTTTGCCCTAGGTCTTACCCTTACCTCCCACACCTGGCTCTGCTCCATCAAAGGGTCAGGTACCAGCTGTGAGAGTGTTTCCCAGAGAGCAAAGGCAGACTTACCTCCTAGAACTTCCAGATCTAGGTCTGCTGAGAATTAGAGAAGACATTGGAGAGTGCCTCTGGATATGCAGTGCTGTTTTCCATTGGCCTTCCTGCTGTCTTGGAGACAGGAGTCCTTTGAGGCAATTGGGGGAACACTTGGAGACATCTCATGTTTTGGGAGACTTAACTCACAGGATGAGGGAACTGTAGGACTGGAGGGTCCAAGCAGCCCACTATGTCCCATCCTAGAGGGCTTCAGGGTAAATGAACTCCAAGGATGGGCTCATGTCTGTCATCCAGCTTTCTGAAAGTCCAGGCCCTCCCTTGTTCTTCCTAGTCTGTCACCATGGCAGCTTCGGGGCATGTGTCTCTACACCCACAACCATTCTTTATGTTCACATGAGCAAACACACAAAGACATCCTTGTGTAAGTGCACACACACACACACACTTGGATGCCTCTGCTCAGCACCTCCCTTGTTAGCTGCTCACCATGCCGGAGTCTTGCTTGCCCAGGATCGAGTTCCTGCCTGTCTTAAGATGGTGTCTGGTTCCGTAAGGCCATCAGACTTTGCTTGCCACTTCCTACAAGAACAAGCTGAGGACTGCCACCCCAGGGGACTGGACAACTGCAGAGTGAGCCCAGGTAGCCCAGTGGTAACTCAGATAACCCTTTTCTCAGCCCAGGCACCAGGAGATTTTACTCTGCCAAGAATGCTATATCTCCAAAGTCTGGGCATCTAAGTCATACTGGGCAACTGGGCTTTGCTAGGGCAGCAGAAACTGGAGGTGCTGAGCATAGATCTTTTCAAAACCAGCAGATAAATGGCCCTGACCCAAGAATGTTTTGTTGGTTTTGTTTTGTTTTTGTTTTTGAGACAGGGCTTTTCTATGTATCCCTGGCTGACCTGGAACTCACTTTGTACACCAAGCTGCCCTCAAACTCAAGAGACTTGTCTGCATCTTCCTCCCTAGTGCTAGGATTGTGCCACCACAGCCTGGTAAAGAATTTATGTTTTGTTCTGTGTGTATCAAGTCTTTCATGGCACTAATTTTTATTTCCTGATTAATTGGCAGACCCAGGAGCCATTCTGATGCCACTTCTGGCCCCTCTGTAGCTGAGTCATGGGCAATAACATTTCTGAGGTAGAAGAGCCTTAGAGATGGTTAGACTGTCTACAATGCGGTCAGTCTTGACATGGCTCTCAGGTTTCCCCTTACTCATCTGACAGGCAAAGTTCAGGGAAGCAATATGACTTGTATTCTGTCACTGCTGTCAGACACTGGATTTCTGGGGTGAGAATAGAGCAGGAGATATGGGAGTGGGCCTGCAGGCCTATCTGAGATGAGGAAGTCCAGGAAATACAATGAAGTGAACAGATGAGTTCTCCCACAGTCCCATAGTCTGGAGGCCGATGCCACATAGGGGCAGCAGGAAGTAGGACCTGAGCAGCCACAGATGGGATGACTGGGGATGGATTGTGCATCTGATAGCTGAGCAACTCCTACCCTGGTACATTTCTAAACTGTGACATCTTCCATGTTACCAGAGGTGTAAGCTTGTCCAGGTATGGGAATGATAGTTGACAGTAAAGGGCCTTGGTTGGGCTTAGCCCAGCCACAGGTGTGGTAAGCTCTGAATTTGAGAGGTCAAGACCCCAGGGAGGATCTTGGCTGAGCCTGAGTACAGCACTAAAGATAGCAACACATCGGGAATATTTAGATTTTTCACACAGCTGTTCCAACAGGTGCAGAATCCTCCTAGTGGTATCCTGAGCTATGTGGAAACTTAACCACTTCTACTGCTCAACAAATAACCCCGAGCTACAGCAGATGGCAAGCCATTCGTGTGTGTGCTTGTGCCAGTGTGTGTACTGTCAGATGGCAAGCCATTCATGTGCATGCTTGTGCCAGTGTGTGTATTGTAAGCCTCTTCCACCCCTACTCCATATAGCTTCTGTGCACCCACCCCGCAATCCACACTCTTCTTGGACCCCAGAGTCACTTCTGGTTATGGAAACTCGAGCCACTAGGGAGTCTGATTTATTTTAAGAT